TATAATCCTGCTAACGCCGGCTGTGTTTAGTGAGCATTTCTCAGTTGCAATGTTGACTTAACCAGGTTAAAATGACTTAATCTCTCTTCTTCAGTTCCCTCAACTGAGTGGATACAATTGTTTACAGTCTCCCAGTGAACCCAACTGGGATTTGTGTGTTAAATGTTTCCTTTCAGGGGGTTATTTTTTTAACACAGATGGGTTCCTCAATTTAGTTCAACACAGAACATTGAGAAACTGAAGGAGAGAGGAAACGGGAGTGAGCAGGTAGAGCAAAAGGAGAGCAAAGGCAGCTTCACCAAAGACTTCTGTTGGTTATTTTCTGTCTTTTTCAGGAAAAAACAGTCCTTGCAGTAGGTAGGGCTTTGTTGGGTTTGAGGGTTTTTTAGTTGATTGTTTTTTAATGCATAATACAAGATCTCAGCTTTTCCTGACAATGTTTCACATTACTAGAATAACTTTCAAGCAGTGCCACTGTTAAAAACAAGGAAAGTTTTTTGCACTGGAAACTCTGCGGTCCAGTACTTGAGTGGCCCAACGGAAACACTGTGCTAATCAAGTAAAAGAGGCAAAGAGGTTTTTCCATACCTTATCCTGTACAAGCCAATGTGTGCACACAAAAGGGGGAAAAAAAAACCCTCTACACTGATGTAATGTTGTTCTTCCCATTCACTGTGCACATGTGGGGGAATATCTACAGAGCCACAATCCAGACGGGTTTTCTAGAGCTACCACCTCAACAAGCGAGTTTAGAGAAATTTCTTCAGTTGTAACAGGACACAAGAATCCGAAAAAAAATAGTTAAACCAGTTTGAATTTGTTTATAAACATTCAATTCTCATGGCAAAAGTGAGTAGTTAAGGGAAATACACAAATTTTAAGTGAAATCAGAAGTCACTCAGCAATGGACTAGCACTCAGGTCAGTTTTAGTTTGCACAGTTCATGAATCACCAGCCTAGACTTCCCATGCAGCGACTACTTTCCTCCTCATGTTACCAATCACAGAAAGTGTATGTTTCATCTTCTCAAGAAAATCTCAGTCTTTTATAGGTGCTAAACCACATTCTGTCAATTCATAAAGCATGGAAGCTTGATGAAATATCAACCTCTAAGAAATGAATTCCAAAAGACTAATTTGTCAAGGTCCCCTATTCTAAGGCACAAGAAAAATAAAATCCTGACACAGCTTGAAGTCTCATGCTACTTTGAGAACACACACCATGGAGACTGCCTTTGGGTATGTCTACTTGAAAGAGTCAGTGCTTTTTTCTGTTATACCTCCTTTGTCTCACTCCATGCGACAGAGTAAGTCTCCCGTATGTCTTGGCAGCACTGAAGAGCACTAACAGGAGGATTATAGTTTTCCTTGTCTCCTTGGCCCCTCAAGCTGAAATGCTCCCATACCTTATAATTATGATTTGCAACTCTATTTACATTCTTACCTTGGAATATTCAAAGGTAATCAGTATTCACCTTGTCTCAGTTGGTTTCCTATGGCCAGAGGCAGAACTAAGATCAGCGCAGAGCTGCAGGTTACTCTTTAGCACACGATTCCAGTTAAACAGCAGAGGGCCATCCCCGAAAATTTGCAGTTCAGAGGGTTCGGTGGTCCTGAATGACATGCTGGACAAGAGAACCGCTGAACTGACAGTACAGCTCTGGCACAAAATACCAGGCAGTCATCAACTTCTAGGACTGATCAATCAAAAGATTAAGTTTGGGGATAGACTAGTTCTCTTTATCTTACGTTTCTAAGTCGTTTTTTTTTCCAGGTTCCTATTTAGAGACATGCATAATTTGCATTAGACCACTGGGAACTGTTACAGAGTATTCCTACAAAAACTGATTTCTCCTCATATCCTGACTCCAGCCCAAGTTTGTGGTGAGAGAAGCAGGAGCAAGAAATCTCGGGAAACAATTTTTATGGACCCTATTTTCAAGCCTTTAGTCTATTTGGACCACAGCAACAAAAAGTTCGTGCGTACCTTACTGGGTTTTGCCTGATAACTGAGAATTAGTTTCATCTGTAGAAGGGGAACGAAGCTCAGAGGGACCAGCAGGTGGGACATCACAGCCCCACAGAGTTCCCCACCTTTTGTGCTAGAGCACGAGTTACTGAACCAGTTGAATTAAAATTGTAAACAGCTGCAAACAAACTTTTGCAGATGTTACTCATGTATGCTTCACACCCATAATTTGCAAGTCAACTAATGCCAGTATTTATGTACTGTAAGTACATAATTATGTTGCTACAGAACTTAATATTCCCCCCTGTAACTCAGGCTCAGGATAAAGAGATTTAATTCACTTAAAAGCAGAATTCTGGTGGAGACTTTACATACCTCCTACAATGTACACGCTACTGCAACCCTTATGCTCGTTATTACATGTGTGAATACCCCGGGATTCAGTGAGACTCCTTACGTTAAACCCAGCTCTCAAACACTGTTATTCACTACGTCAATAAGGTCTGTAATCTTTTATTACACATATGCTCAAAGTTTCAAGAACTGGACTTTAACATTAGAGTACAATGGTCAAGTTTCAAAAGCACAAACAAGCACGAGAGTCCTGCTGCTTACTGGAAAAAATACTTGTGCTTTGTGGATCTACTGGAGTTTAACCATACCACCTGCTGCTTCCTGAGGAACACAGCTGTTTGCTTTTCAGTTCAGCGTGATGCAAAGTGACATACCTCTAACACAGCAGAAAATAATTAATACTATACCTGCTAGTTTCTACAAGAAAAAAAGGTGGTGAGACAGTGAAGAAGTTCCAGAGATCATTTTTTTAGATCATTTAGTTATGGTCGTGTTAATACTTTTAGTCCTTTTTTTTTCATTCCCAGAATGAAAATTCCCTTAAAATGCAACTGAGATTAAGAGTCTCTATCTCTAGTTTAGGAAGATAATTATAGCGTCTCTAATTACCATCAAAACAAGTTTTACAAGCTTTTGCAGTAACTCCATGTAACAGTTGTATGATTGGAGAACATTAAAGTTTAAACGTTGAATCGCAATTACAGCAATTTCTACTTCTAGGTCCATTATATCACTACAGGGTCAAAAAGGCTGTTTAATTCTCACCCTTCCCACTTGAATTAAGTTTAGTCCCAGTTGAGAATTTTCTAGAGTTGAAACCATTTTTTCTCAGAGTACGATACTGCCGTAAGTTTTTTTCCCCACATCATTTCGTGATATACACATTCAAAACTAATTAAACCCCCTTTCCTATAAACATTAAACAAGAAACACATAAAATGCCATTATAGTATTTGAAGCATATAAATATTAAACTTTTTTTTAAAAAGTATAATTTACCAGAACACCCACAGCTGTTTTAATGCTGCTAAAAGATACAGCAAAAAAGGTACAGTTAAATTTACATTCCCTGTGCTTCTGTTTCTCAGCCTATTGTAACACGTTCACTGATAGGAGGGCGATTCTTAAAAACTGGTTATTTAATCAGCAGAAGCTGAGCAACTCTCATCTGTAAGAAATACTATTTATGTTCTGAAAAGACCCTCCTCACTTATCAATAGCCTGACTTCAAACTCTGGAGGCAAGAGCTCCCCATTCTGTCCAGAGTCACAAAGCAACAAAGAGAGATTTTTTAAATTTTTTTTTTCAAGAGGACATTACAAGTGACAGTACTTACTGGTCATGTGTCCTCCCAAACGAAAATATTCCCTTGCCTGTTTTGAGAAATAAATCAAATTTGCCCTCCTTTCTCCACCCACAAATCCACATTTTAAATGGAAAATGATTCTATAGCAACACAGCTGGGGATATACTAAATCTCCTGGTTCTGGAAGTGCAAAAAGAACCTTAAAAAACTATTTCAAGTGAAACTATCACATAACAGAAGTAATTAGGTACCTTTATGAGAAATTTTAGAGTGTGATTTAATTATTTAGGAAAAATAACAAGGAAAATTAAAAAATAATAATTTAGAACTGTTAAGACTGCTGAACATATTCTGAACACGTACAAAGGAGAGTTTCTATTGCAACATGCAGCTGCTGAGTCTTGCAAAACTTATGGAACTCAAAGGGAAAGGAGAAATACAAGTACATTTCCCTCTCCAGTTCCCTCTTTCTGCTATTACACCAGTTCTGGATCGCAACCATGTCGAGACAGCTATTCTCCTCAGCAGACAATGGGAACTTGTTATGCAAAAAGCATCTGAAAAGGCCTGTAAGCATCAGAAATGAGTATCCTGGACAAGCAAGTCATAAAAACTGCATTTAATGGAGATTACATCGATCCCACTACTGCAAACTTTCACCTAATAGCTAAACACAATTTTTGCTGTGTGCACATTCTTAAAAGCCTCAAAATACTGAGTAACCTATAATAAGAGGTATGATAAACCACACCTAGCATCAACAAAATGAATAAGTTCCATTCACAGTATGAAAGGGCAAATTCACACTGAATACACATAGCTTGGGTATACGGGGGTGGGACTGGGGGTTACTTTTCTTCTTTTCATGAAAAGGAAAAAAAAAAAAAAAAATCTCACTTTTCCACATGCTATTGAGGCACTTGTCCTTATAAAGTTTATACCAATGCCAAACTTAAAGCTTTCAGAAAGCTTCAATTATATATCATCATAGGTATTTCTTTTGAGAGCAAAGAAAAAAAATAAAAGGAAAAACCAAACCACACAGCATTTAATGGTGCTCTGCTTTAACAGTCATCTAGAAGGGAATGTATCTACCATCATGCAGCCCCAGACTTGCATCTGAAAAGTGAAATTCCCAGCAATTCATACAAAAAATTTTGTACTTGAAGGTTTTACCTTTCCAGATCTAATCTTAAAAGCCACAAAATTATTCCAAGTGCAGATGCAAACTGCAACAAAAGCCTCTTTATGTATACATACATATATATATATATATATATATATATATATAAATATATATATATAAAAAAAATCAATACTGAACAGTTAATTAACATAAGAACTTTGTCTTGGGCTCAGTATTATTACTCACCCGCTTTGGCCCACTAAAAATCTTCCTGGTGTTTTCCTTAGATTTATCACCTTGTTTATTTGTGGATTTCTTATTGCCTTCAGGCACACCAGATGCATCCTCAGAAAACTCCAGAAGATCTGTAAAATGTAAATATAGACATGAAACAACCATACTGAAAGCTGTTGAACTGCTGGAGCATTTCATGCATCGGACATTTCCACATGTAGAGCTTCTGAAATATAATAAACAATCTTCATTAGAAATCAACTTTAAAGCCAAACACAGTTCTGGATGGAGCTTAGGTTTACTAAACAGACTGTCATAATACACAGAAGATACAATACAAGGTACACTGTCACGATCATGATAGTACCTCTTGCCCGCTGTGTAAGCTTCAAGTTATTATTTCCCATTTTACACTCCTGTGAATCCCAGGTTACCTTTTATAGTGCTTATGTATGGCTTGCTGTTACAACTGTGCAGCAGACGAATTAAACAGTAGATGGGGTGCTTCAAAAGTGTGAAATTAAGAGATTTAGAAGAATATTTCTCACTACAATTACAGTACTAAACAATTGATCCTACTCCACTTCTCCTGGTCAGCCTGTTTATATTTGCCTATTCTGCTACAAAAAGTATTTTAAAAAAAGGTCATCGGCTCAGAAAGGGGTCAGCTAGAAGCAACCACTGAAGTGACCTTTCAACATACTCAATACTGGTTTTACCAGTAGTTCTAGTCCTCAGTTTTGGACTCTAAATCTGAAATTGACTGATCTAATTAAACTCGTGTCCTATTTTTTCTTTCTAGCCTTGTGTTGTGTTTGAAGCATTATCCCTTGGAGACCAGTTTTTTACTCAGTATAAACCAGAAGTCACCATCACCTTCAAGATGGAAATAAAGACAGACACAGAGAAGCACTGCTTCATCTGATATACAGTTTAGAAAACTGATCTATTCCAGAGAAGCTGCCGCTACTTGAAAACTGCAGAAAAACAAGCAGGCTGGATAAGTTCCTCTAATCCCAAGCGCCCTCACAACCAGTAACCAGGACCAGTCCAGTGCCTAGGTGAGGAGGGAATCGAAAGTCAATCAGGCAAGTAAATTTCTAATGGCACTCACAAGGACACAGAAGTGATCTAGTCTGGGGGATGTAAGTATTCTTAGAATAAGGCTCAAAAGTTTCTTAAATTGCAGTAAATTTCAGTGGGCTTGGCAGCACCAGACCCAGGCTCACATTCCAGACCACTGGTTTTCAGTTTAGTTGTACGATGTGTTCTTAAACTCCAGCGCTGACAACATCAACAATCCCTCTGAAAATAGCTGACTTGAAAAGATGCTTTAGTCTAACAGAGAACAAAACACTACAGAGCAATTCTCATTAACTGAAATAAAGCAAAACTACTTGCAAATCTATATAAAAGTCAACTTAGTCTTTTGGTGGAACTCAAAGGAGTCAACTGTTTTGATACGCAACCTTACAAATCCTGAAATATTTTAGAAGCAGCCAGGCACCGAATGTAATCCCCAAAGAAAGTCAAACCAACAGAACCTGAACCCTCCTATTGTAGATTAAAAGCTAAAAAAATAACTCACTGGACTACAGTAATTACAAACATGCAAGTCACTCCAGAAATGTGGGACATGTTTTCACCCACCAAATCAGCACAATAATTTGTGCCTTGTGCTAAGACTTGGAGCTGATACTGTGGTTAATAATGACTAACAGTGCTCTGTATCAACTAAGCCACACCTTTAAAATCATCTAAGTTTGTCTGAATTCTACTCCTATGTGATACTGAAATAACCCATTTAAATTAGGCAATTTTAAATTCAAAGAAACGTTTTAACTCCTACTTACAATAGGACAATTTTGCATTTTCTGACACTGCTAGTATAGCAATCACTTTCAAGATTAGTTTCATAATATTATCTGGGATGCTTTTATTTGAGCAATGCTCTTTGGGGCCTTCTAGGTATCCTAAAAGCACTCTGCATACATATCTCACCAGATTTCCAAATCCAACCTAAACAGGGTGTAGGGGAGAAGTCTTCTGTTAATATTAACTGAGCCAGGCAAAGACACGAGGAGGTGGTAAGCAGAACTCCAATGAAGCTCTTTTCCACTGGCTCTCTCTTGTAGGGATGGGGTTTTTTCCACCTCACAGAAGATGAACATGTTCACCTTTTTCTCAATATGAAAGCATGTAAGGCCTCTTCTCCTCTAACCAACCATTTTGAAGGCATTTATAATCTTTGAGATAATTTGCCTGTCTTGGCTTAAATTGGAAAAATGTTCCAAGACCAACTAGAAGGCAACACCACAGTAAATCTCCTGGGGAAAAACAACACACTTTTGTTTTAGTGCCTAAGGGTAATTCTGCAAAAGATTTTGAAGTCCAAACAGGATCTGCCTTTGAGGACACTGATACCTTTAACTGGCTAAAAATATTTACCAATTAAGGTGATTCAGTTTTTGAGGTGGTGCAAAGGAAGAAAAAAAAAATTGGGCAAGTTCGCTCATCAGAAATGAACTGAGTATTAGATGCTTATATACAAAAGCTGTTTTATTATCCGAAAATAGTATAGGGATCTCATCTTGATCACGGAAAGGAAAAAGAACGCATGACACAAAGGTGAAGCTGTATATAAGAACTGATTTACAAAGCAAGAGGCTAAGCTGTAATACTTACAAGATAACTGCTACTATAAATTAAACCAAGAATACTGTAGTTCTTCATTACTACACTGCTTATGAGATATATAGTGACGGAGGTGAACCAAATAAACATAAGCATGTTAGAGAGGACAATCTTCAAATCTTCCTTTAGCAGAAAATTTCACAGCAACTGTTCTATCCTGCTTATGTAAATCTATATAGAGATATGGAAATGTTTAATTTTAGTCAATTTTTTCTTTTTTCTAATGCCTGTCACTTTCTGTAGTAATTTTATTGTCACGCCAAACTGAAAAGTAGTAAAGCAAGCATTAACATAGCCCTAGGTGTCCCAGCTGAACGGGTGGACAACAGAGCATTCTGAGACTGCAAGTTCAGAAGTTAAATATGTTAGAAATCTTCATGACCACCCAAAAGACAGAAACTAACTGATAACACAGTTACCTCCAGAAGTAGAACCGCCTCCAAAGATACAGGTTTGTCCTTCAAAACAAGTCATCCTGTATCCTGGCTAGTGAAACGACACAGGTACTGTTTCAGGTGTAGAGAAGTCTCTTCAGTACTTTTAGCCCCTGGCATTCTGGCAGACTACAGAGGCTCAAGTGAAAGGAGTTGGCTGCACTGCGCTGCTACACCAACTGACAGGGCAGAACTTTAGATTGCAATGGCAAAAAAATGGCACCTGTGAGTAGAACTCAAAGCTTCATCAAACATCTCAAAGTTATGAAGTACCTTCATTAAAAAGAAAAGTTTGTGAACAGCATCTAGGAATTTAAAAGTTGGAGCATCTCCTGGTTTGGGCTTTTTTGGGGGATTTATTTTGCTTTTTTCGTGTTTTTTAATCCTTTCAGCATGCAAGCCTATCATACAAGTGAACAACAGAAAAGATGCTTCAGTGAAAGACAGTAACTAAAATGGAATTTATCCAGTTGGCGTTTTGTCCTGCACTCACAATGTTTTCCATCTAGTCTTTAGTGTTTCCTTAAATTTCATTTGCAGAAGCATTTAAATATGTATTATTAAACTTACTTTCCCTCAACTGTGAGCTAGTAGACTGGAAGGAACCGTCCATTTCCAGTTCCATTAGAAAATCTCTGCATGCTGTTTTATACTAAGATGCTAAAATAGGTTTCATAAACCCAGGCCTAGATTATGGCAAGTAACCAAATTGGTCTTATGGCCAAAATTTTGTAGGACTAATAGAAAGCATCAAATCTACTGAAAAACTGTCTATGCCATATAACATTCCTTAGTCCACAGAATGTCAAAACCAGGAATTTCCAGGACTGGAATTCAGAGAGCAATCTGGCATCTCACCTGCCAACCTGGAACAGACACACCGGCTTTTTATCCGTGGATTTATTTGTTAGTACAGAACTCAGCACCTCTCAGTACTGAGTGGAACTTCAGGAACAAGTTTGAGATGTTCTGAAAGCCTTTTCTAAAGGTCGAATTCAAAGCTGGCGTTTTCCATGGACACAGAATCCACTTTTTTTCAGTATGTAAAGACAACACCTCACAGCAATGTCACATATTTTACTGCAACTTCAGGTTGTGATCCAGAAGCCCTTGAGAAATTCTCAGGCTCAGCACGACTACATTCAAGGACCTTACTATGGCTGTTCTGAGCGATCATGATGCTCAAAATTTTCAAAGGTCTGAGAGAAGACAGCATGAAATGTATCAAGGAGTCCTACAAATTTTAGGGCAACTTTTATTATCTGTAGTATAGGTTTAAACCACAGAATGTGCTGCAATTTAGGAAAAGAACTTCCTGTCATCCTTTGAATTTTTAGAAGAAAGCAAGTCAAATCTTACCCGGCTACAGTAGCACAAAACAGGAATCAAATGAGCAAAGGAGAAGCAAAATAAAGGGGAAGCATCTCTCAGCAGAAGCACTGAGAGGTAGCTCTTACCCCAGAAGTGTTATTAAGAAACTAACAACACACAAATTTACATCTACCCGTGCCATGGGAGTCTCTTAGGAAGATATTTCACAGAAATAATCTGTGATACCTCGGAGTATAATGGCCTCCTTGGTGAATGTAGTGCTGAATGCAAGCTGTAGATATTCTGAGACTCCAGAGGACAGCAACTGAAAGGATTATTTGATGGGTCAGCATCTCAGCTGCATTAACGCTATAAGTGATTTTTTTTTTTCCTTGGAATAAATGGCTGAGCAAAGACTTGTGAGAGAAAGGGACTCAGATGGAGTATTTCATAAGTGGCCCTGTAACTTAAATCCATTTTCCAAAGACACTAGAATGCAAATATCTGATTGTAATGAATTTTACAAAAACAAATCTAGGGGGGGTTTGTTTGAAAAACACAACCTTCTCATGTAACATCAGTATCAATTTGGCCCTTTTATAGTTTGTAAAAAACCCTAGCAGTTAAATTCACATTTGATTAAAAGGCTTACAGACAATTCTGGTTTTAGAGACCACTATAATTAGAACAGAGAAATGATCATTTTTTTTCCTACGAAATTTTATTTCTGGATTATATTAGTAGAAGCTATTTGTAGGCAGAAACAGCTTCTCCAACATTTGCAAGGCTAGACTTGAGCCCTCCCCTCTCCCCATCACAATGAAATACATTATGCCAAAGTCTTACAAATGTAGCTACACTGAATGGATAAAAACTTCTCATGCTTCACGCTCCAAAATGGAGGACCAAAAGTTTCCTAGAACAGTGGCAGTGCTTTGAAATACTTACTCCAACATGCATGATTCACTAGCATTGGACTTTTTCAAGAAGAAAAAGCTAAAAGAAACCTTTCGCTGAAGTTATTCCTTTTCTTCACCCACACACCTCAACCTTGATCAAAGTCATTAGATGGGACCCAACCGACCACCAGGCAAGTGTTAATTTTTCAAAGGCACTCAAACTCCAGCACTTGCTCAGCATATTTTGTGTGAACAGTTTTACTTATATGTGTGTAAGTGTATGTATGTGTACACACACACACACCCCCACCCTGTCCCTGTGCAGAAGACAGAGAGCTAAAAACTGGAAACAAAACTAGAAATACATCAATATGCAGAGATACAGCTAAAGCCAGTCGTCTGACTGGCATCCCAGGGGTCCCCACATCTTCCCTCTCAAGCCATGCATCCTTGAATAAGACGGAAATCAAGAAAGGTCCAAGGTCTTTACAAACGCGTTCAAAAAAAAAAAAAAAAAAAATCCCAAAAGGAAAATGATATTTCACATCTCTAAGAGCTACTTAATTTTCTGCACTCAGCTCCGTAATCTTGGGTTGACGTGGAGCTTCTGTGGGAAGATATCTGCTGTCCCGGCATAGGTACTGTATATGCTCAACCCACCAAAAAGGTAAGAATCTTCTGTTCTAAAAGAAAAAAAACCTCTAGCACCACATCAGAACTAAGCGAATTTAATTTTCAGGTTTCCAAATCAACAAACTCCTAGGTATACTGCAAAAAGACCAAAATACAAAGGTCAACTAAATGTAAATATTAAGTATGTATTCCAGAAGAGTTCTCCTTACCCGCGTTAGTACTGAGCTGGCTATCCTGGGAACAGTTTTCATTGCCATCAGAGGTTGACTGTAGCGAAGAAGATGGTGCAGTTCTAGTTCGTTTTTTGTTAGCTTTCCTTTCTGCTACCTGCCACTCTTCATCTTCATCCTCACTCTCACTCAAGTCATCAAACCCAAAGTACTTGATTTTGTAATTGGAACTCCCAGAACTTCGAGAGGCGCCTTCATCTCCCCCTCCCTCATCTTGATCATCAAACCCAAAAAACTCTAATTTGACATCCTTTTTGGATTTGGTATTGCTTGGTCGAAACCTGGTTGTAGTTTTTGTAGTAGCAATGTCTGCTTTTTTCCTTAAGCGGCCAGCTTCTCCCAGGTCAGTAGGGGCTGCTGTGGTAAATTCATCGATTCGTTCCATGGTATCCTGTATAGTAACGTTACAAACTGACAAGCAAGATGGATGTAGAACAGTGTAGTCTCTAGTCCGTCCAACCGTCCCTCTAAAACTGGTCCCGCTACTTAAAGAAACTTTTCTTGTTGGGTTCAGACCATCATTATTTGACTCATTGTTTGCTTTGGATAAAGACTGACTAGTGCCATCCATTAGCTTGTCAAAATTTGTTGCCCCCTGTGGTTTTGCTTTGTTGGATCGACAGTATGTCCTACAGTTGCTTGGCCTAGGAATAGTTTGCACAAGCTCTTCACTAATGGCTTCCTTTGGATTTTCAGTATCTTCTTTATCACACTCCTCATCCTTGCTCTTCATCTCCGAGAGATGTTCATTGTCAAAATCTAATATATACTCTCCAGTTCTGGTGTCTTCAGATTCATCCTCCCATTCATACAAGTGAGTTCTTAATGGCCCCTTTGTCTGAGATGGTTCTGATGGAGAGTCTGCTGGTTTTCCGATGTGGGAGTCCCAAGAATCAGGCAAGTCCTTGGCTTCAATGTTGTATCCAGAAGTGTCTGTAGTTTCAGCATTGCTTTTGTTACCGTCTTCAGCATTCTCATAGATGAGATGACTGTTCTTCTCATTATCTTCATTCAAACTCTGTATTTTATCTACAAGAAAAGACAACTTTATTACCAAAAAAGCATTATTAAAAAAATAAATCATCACCCTTGCAGGCAACTTTGAAAAGTCACAATATAACAGCGAATGTTCAGTGCTCAATAACAAAAAACATTAAAGAGGTCCTTGTCCTTCTGGTTTATACTTTTTAAGCCTTCCAGTGACCCTGTGGGAAGCACATGCTGGAGAAGGTTCACTGCAGGACTTGTGACCCTGTGGAAGGGACACACGCTGGAGCAGAGGAAGAGCATGAGGAGTGCTCCCCCCGAGGAGGAAGGAGCAGCAGAGAGCGTGTGATGAACTGCCCGAAACCCCCATCCCCTGCCCCCTGTGCTGCTGGGGGGGAGGAGGGAGAGAAACCAGGAGTGAAATTAAGCTCAGGAAGGTGTTTTAAGATTTGTTTTATTTCCCATTAGCCTACTCTGATTTGATTGGTAATAAATTGTTACTTTTCCCAAGCTGAGTCTGTTTTGCCCGTGACAGTAACTGGTGAGTGATCTCTCCCTGTCCTTATCTCCATGCATTAAATTGTCTCTCCCCTGTCCAGCTGAGGAGCGACAGAGCAGCTTTGGTGGGCTCCTGGCATCCAGCCAAGGTCAACCCACCACAAGGCAATATCATGTGAAACGGAAAACACGTAAGAATCAATGAATTATCTGAGTTTGCATATATTCATTTGTAATACTCCAAGATGCAGTACCGCAGCCGACTGCAGCAGGAAGGGATGCACGGGCAGGTTACAGCTGCTTCTTCAGATATTCCTGATCCAAGAACTAAAGCATCATCATAGCAGAAACAAAAACCGGCATGGGCCACAGAACCTACTGATGAAGTTAAATACATTTGCTGAAAGTTATCTTATGATTCACTGCCTAACGCATTAACTGTGCAGCTCCTAAAACCCGTGGAAGCAATCCACTGACATAGCTACTGAAAATGCTGCAGTCCCCATTACAACTGTACCACAAGTTTTAATCACTGCACCCTGGACAGAATGGCACACAACTTCAGCAACAGCTGCTTCAAATTAAAATATCTGGACTTCCAGAAGAAATACAGAAAATGCAATTCTCAAAATTTTAAAACTGAATCACTTCTGAAATGCAGGTTTTTACAACAAACTTCTACAGATCTGAAGAGGAGCTGCTGCCAAAAGTCAGGCTTGCGCTTCTCCAACCCATAGCCACACTTGTATTTTATGCTGTCGAAAAGAACAAATTCCACTATAAGAAATCAGTTTTTGTAAGATTTGTTTCTAGTCGAGCAGTATCCACACAACACATAACGCCAGGAAAGACAGCACTAAGTCCTTCCCCTGCTGTCCTCTCAACTGGCAGGGAAACCAGTCCCTTTGGTTTTCCCGAATACCAACAATAGCTCAGTGGATCTGGTACCAGAGTTTCACGAAGACTCCATTTGCACCTGCCATACCCTGTTGCTGCACCTCACACAGATACCCAGAAATACAAATGTGTTATTTTCTAGAAACAAGACAAGCAGAAATTTCTTTGAAATTTCTGGGACAGTATAACCAAATGCAGGAACCAAGGTGTCGCCCGTGTACTATCAACACTCACTGTACTGGCTGCCTAGGCCAGGAGAAGCAAGATAAGAAGTCTGACTGGAATGCAGAAGACCCTGACACCCAGAAGAGTAGCACATGAGATAAACTGGAGAAACAGAAGCCACTGGGACAGGAACAAGCAGGAAAAAAAATCCTAGAAAAGACCACACTTCGAAGACACAGGTGCAGAATGTGACAGTAATAAAAGAAGCTCCCCTGGCAGAATGCAACCCTAGCAAATACTTCCTAAACTTGTCACTAACATGAAGGCTTTAGCATCCTTCAGCACCAGTCCTGACTTCATCAGCTACCGCCTACCCGAGCAGCACTGGAGTTTCATAGCAGCGATCAAAAGGTTTCAACCTTTCTAATGAGGAAAGTGAGCATCAGCCCCGTTCCGGAGACTTCTGTTCCTTTGTTTTCAAATTAAACCAGCATCATCTAAATGCCATCCTAGCACACATGCTTTATAAAAGAACTTAAGGTGCAAACAGAAAATCCTAGTGAAAGAAATGACTACGAAGTCAAGATTTGCAGGAAATTAGTTTAATCCTAGCTGAAATTCCTCAGGGAGACAGGACAAGTAATATCTCACTGCATCTGGGTTTTCTGGGAGTCCAGCTGAGGTGTCTCTCAAAAGTTTACATATTCAGCTAGAAATAAAAAAAAAAAAAAAAAGCAAAAAAAAAGCTCTTCACAGAATATATGAAATGCAAAACTAAATTCCCCGAAGTACATCAGTCCTAGCCATCTCAGTGATGGAATCTTGTTTAATCTTTTTCAGCAGCCATACATTATACAAGAAACCTTGTCATTCCCATTTCAATCTCATACTTGTGATAATCTAAGAGGCCCAACCAAAATTAATCTTTCTGTTATCAGAGAGCGAGTTTGACAGAGTACAACAGGTTCCTTTTTCCCCTCATATGTTTAATATTATTGTGCAATTGTAATACTTAGGCTTGAAAACCATCAAATTAAACTAAAAAAATTTTCAGACTTTCTTGCTAAAATAGACTATTTTGCAGCCTCACCACTACTGTTCCATATCCAAGAGCACATTTTCTTGAATTAATGAAGTCTAAGCAACTTTAAAAATAAATGTATTTCAAATATGCCTGACTGGGTTTACTAAATTTCACTATGTGTATCTGGAAAGGGAATGGTTTTCCCATCCCAAGGAAGTCCAGGATTTTAAAGAGCCACATTTCATCCCAGGACCAAATCAAATCCCATCTTCCCAGGGAAGGACTATGTGTGCACACGCACATCACAACCCAAGAGTCAAATAATTCAGGAATCTGGTCTGAGATTAAAAGATCTGAACTTTATTTTTACATTGTCTTAGCCTGAATCATTATCTCAGCTACAGTCTGTACTCTCAAGTAGAAGAGATAATCAACACATCAAGCCTGGAAAACAGACTGAAGAGGCCAAAGAGATAGATATAGATATAGATATATAAGACATACAGCTAACATACATCATTAGCACTGACAAAAAATTAATGGAAAAAGTTACCAAGGAATCTGTCTCCAAAAAAACATTAACTGACTATTCCGAAAAAGGTTTTGTGGGGGTTTGGGGGAGGTTTTTTGTTAGTTGGTTTTGGTTGGGTTTTGTTGTTTGTTCTGTTTTGTTTCGGTTTGGTTTTTTACACTCTGCTACTAGCACATGACAAAAATCATGACTACCCTAGAATATATATTTTCAAATATGTTATTTTAAAAATCCGTAATTTTAATATGCAAAAAGCAAAGATATTCAGGGAGTGCATATTTAAGTCTTTCACTTCAGATCACTTCATCTAAAACGCTCTCTGAATTCTTCTGTTCATTCATCAGTTCTGAAGCAGTGTTTAGCAGCTGAAACCACTTTCCTTTCCCCGTCCCTTGCCAGGAAGTTACTCTGGCAGTAACCAAGAGCTAAAGCCATCATCTACTAGGGCTTTGTGAAAAGGAGGATCCTTACGACACATCAACTACAGTGCTGCTTTTATTTTAAAAATTTTTTCTAACATACATTAGACACTCCAAGTAATAATAAATCCAAACAGATCCCTAAAACTCACTCTGAATGAAACTATTCATTTTGATTCTCTCGTTACATACACTGAAAAATTACTCTACAAATTGTTCTAGAGTATTTTAGAATGTGCTAAAATTAGCCTAATATTTGTAGGGCTCTGAGCAAACAACACAGTCCCATCTAGCTGTCCATGACCTATTAAGGGAAGAAAACTTTCGGCTCTCTTATTACAGCAGCCTCATTTGGACAAACTGAAGCATCAGTTGAGAGATGCATTATGACAAAAACAATCCTGCCTCACATCTAGTCTCTCCATTTCCATTTTTCGGTCCTTGCTGCGCTGAGGCCGTTACACCACTCCTTCCCAGAGTGGCTCCCATTCTCATCTCCAGTTTCACACTCACCCAACCTGCCTGCTCTTCTCCATGTGCTCATCCCCAACAGTCCCAAGTACAAGTCTGAGGGAACTGAGCTAGCTATTAATTCCACAACGCCGGTCTCCACCACCTCTAAGAGAGCCAAACCCGCACAGGTACTTCAAGGCATTAGTTCAGCTCCATGTTAGTGACATTTGGCCAGGCTGGGTCAAGGCAGCAGCACCATACACACCTAAGCCTTCCTGTCTTGAATTCCTTGTTCCTCTTCATCTGCAGATGTGACTAAAGTAAGTTCCTCAAGCCAGCTCAGCTGACTAATAAATAACAAAACCATTCTACCCCAGACAAACAGCTTTCTTGATGTTCGTTTTACTCCTCTTCCAAGAAATGATCTTAAATGCAAACGTTCACAATTAACAGCTCCTTCTGCACCACAGCAGGGCTTCTGCTGCCCTTGCATAAGCTATGCAGCGTTTTAACTAACTTAGAATTTTGAATTGCCTCTGAAAAGACTCCACAAGTATCCACAAACTGTTACATCTTATTTCTCACTCTGCACTAGTGATTTAAAACAGCAAAGTTACTTTTAAGCAGCAAATAAATGGCAGCCTAGATCCTCCCCCTTCACTTTGTGCCTATCAGCCACCAAAATTTTAAAACCACTCAGTAATTCAGAAGTCCTAGTGACTGCAGCTGGGAGGGTTTTCCATCTCCAATAAAAAAAACGAGGCTGATGGAAGATTTAACCAGTAAACTGCTTACTGTATAGCAGGTAGAAAGTCTGGCTTGAGAACCGCATCACCGTGATACACTCGTGGAGAACTAAGCAGTGACATTTAGAGGAATACTTCTCACAGGATGCTTTGGCAAGCCATTGGTTTCATCTTAGGGTGGGTCAATAGGCGTCAGACTGAAGCTTCTATACCAGAAATTACTGCAAACCACTTGCTAATTGTGCAAAGGTGTACAATACCAGCAATTCTGATAACCTTGATTTTTAAAATTACTATATTTATCTGGA